AACTTTCATACAGAATAGAAATGTTTGATGTTTTGTGATGTCTATTACTATGTACGATTGCAGCTTTGCCCTGAAGTATAAAGCTGGGTGAAGGTTAGGTTTCCTACTACGTAAATTTGTTAAATGTTGGATTTGTGTAAGCTGGAACACTACATGTTTGTGATCGGCCATGTGGGTTTACTCAGTTGAGATGTATCTATGCAAGTAGCATGTTTATATTATCGATCAAATAAATAAAATAATTAATTATGCGAAACAATTCACTGCAAATTACTGGTAGGATAAATGCCTTCACCTATATGTTAATCGTTGCGTAAACTTTCAGGATTATCGAAAAACTAAACGTTTCGACATATTTATTATTGGTTCGTACTGATACATTAGACGTGAGCATCACCAAAGCTGCCCTTACCTCATGAATGATAATAAAGCTCTCTTTTTTGAAGTCCCAAGGGTCATAAGTTCCGGACATTGATGAAAGGGCCCAGAGAGAGTTCAATTATCTTCTCCTCGTACTTTTTAATATCTCTGGTATCCAAAAATGTAATTGGAAAAGTTTTTATTATGTGCAAACTTTTAAGTGTATTCAAATTTTAAGTTTATATATGGATGATTATGCGTAAGGAAGAAATACCTTTTATTTCGCTTTACTTTCTGCGTCTTTAAGGGAACACTGTAATCCCAAAAAACTATGTATGGGCTCCGTTAAACCACCGGCCAGTAAGTTCAAAACATTTCAGGGCTATAACTTCGTTGTTCCGTGCTTTGAGATTTTGACTATTTTTTAGCTCGGACAGACATTCATTTGGAGAAGTAATTTTTTTAGAAAAACCGAGACCTCACTTAAGTATCTTTCTTTTGAGGGTTATAAATGCTAGCTTTTTAATCTTGTCGGTTTTTATATTTAATAATTTAATTTTTGCTTTTTTATGTACCCGCGTATTTCGTATATACATATTTGTATGTTTGTATTTTTATATGACTGACTAATCCCATACATTATCTTTAATGTCGAATGTATAATAAAGTAAATGAAATGAAATCTCTGATGTAGACGCATGTGGACACTTAGGAGTCAAATTACTTCAAAAAATTTTTCAGTATATCAACCTGGTAGTTTCTGTGCCTTTTCAGGAAACCAGTTTCGTTATATGTCTACCCTTATCTCGCAATTTATCACTGATCGAAGCCACAGTATCCTAGGGCTCACGCTGGTAGTATCTCTGATGTAGACTCATTTGGACGCTTAGGAGTCAAACTACTTGACACAACTTTTCAGTGTATCAACTCGGTAATTTCCGAGCCTTTTCAAGGACCAGTTTCATTATACACCTATCTATACCTCGCAATTAAGCGCCGATTGAAGCCCCATGTAAGCCCAGAGCTCATTATGCAGGTGAAATCTCTTGTAAGCCCGAGGGATACCTTGGGGTCAGCCTACTTGATACCGTTTTTCAGTTTATCAACCCGGTAATTTCCGTACCCTTCTCAATCAGCACTTACGATGCTAACCCACCCATATCTCGCTATCTATCACTGACCGAAGTCACTGTGTCCCTAGGGCTCATGTTGGTGATATCACTGTTGCAAAGATGGTAGTTAACCTACTAGACACAATTTTTCAGTATAACAACCCAGTTATTTCCGTGCCCTTCTCAATGGTCACGTTATATACCCACCTTTATTTCCCTATTTATCACTGATCGAAGTCACTGCTTTCCTAGGGCTCATGTTGGGGTATCTCTGTTGTAAACGCGTTTGGACACTTAGCAATCAACCTCCTGGACACGAGTTTTCAGTATATCAACCCAGTTATTTCCGTACCCTTCTCAATGGTCACGTTATATACCCACCTTTATCTCCCTATTTATCACTGATCGAAGTCACTGCTTTCCTAGGGCTCATGTTGGGGTATCTCTGTTGTAAACGCGTTTGGACACTTAGCAATCAACCTACTGGACACGATTTTTCAGTATATCAACCCGGTATTATCCGTACTTTTTCAGGGACCAACTCCTTTATACACCTACCCTTACCTTGCAATTTAGCACCGATAGAAGCCCCTGTGTCCCTAGGGCTCATGATTTAGGTGGTCTCTGTTGTAAGGATGGGTCGCCCTTGGGGACCAGCCGTAAAACTGCGGTAAATGGAAGCGGAGCGACGTTTGACGCTTCACTCTGAAAAACTCATCGTTTTTACGAAAGACTTTTACCAGGAATGGAATTAATGAACATGAAACGAATAATCAAATAATCGTAACATCCTTTAGTTCTAAGATGAAAGTCTCCAATTCATCATTGAGGCAAATGATCATCTTTGAGCTAAAGATAATGTTCAAGCAAGACAAAATGGTATTGAAGAATATAGTACGATGATGATAAATCTGAAAAGCTTTGTGCAACAAATTGTACCACTGAATCATACAATGAAAGTTTTCCAAGGAAGGGCTTCTACAAGCTACAAAACTGAAAGATACGTAGTTGAAACCATCCAACCTACTGCTACAATAAAAATCCGAGCAAACGATCTCCAGGCTTTTCCATCAATGGATACGGAATAGCTTCTTTTCACTACTAACAAAAATGGTGATAATGAAAAAATCGCTAGGTGATTAATGGATGTGTGGATTCATGTAGTCTATGACTTGCTGTGCACAGAATTGTAACTTCTCCTAAATTCTTTATCCATTGTTTAATATACTAAGTGACATATAAATCCGAACACCCAGTTTAAATGGTTTTATTTTAATAAAATTTTGTATAAGTACTTAATGAAGCATAATAAGTAAATGATAAAAATTTCAAAATGATTGCACTGCTTTAAAGCCCTTTGACCTTTAATAATGTATGGATGCACCCTGATGTGCTACGCATTCTCCAACGCGCCTAGGCATGCTTCTGATCAGGTGGTCAATGTCCTCCTGTGGTATCTCATTCCAGGCAACCACCAACCACTCTCGAAGTGCTTCTAGAGTCTGAGGAGGACGTTGCAAATTGAGCAATCTCCTACCCATCATATCTCACACGTGCTCAATTGGGGATAAGTCGGGAGATCTTGGTGGCCATGGTAACAATGTGACATCATTATGTTGAAAGAAGTCTATTGTGACTCTTGCAACATGTGGTCGGGCATTATCTTGTTGGAAAGTTGGATCTGCCAGGGTGTCAAGATAGGGTAAAAGATGGGGTTCTAGAACTTCGTGGATATAACGCTGCGCATTCATGTTACCTCTGATGAAGATTAAAGGTGACCTGGAATCATAAGCTATAGCACCCCAAACCATAACTCCAACAGTGTGATGAACATGTCTTTCATCAAAAAACTGTGGATTCCTCCTTTCACCACGTCGCCTTCTAACCCTGGCACGACCATCGTGCATGCCTAAACAAAATCGAGACTCGTCACTAAAGACAATACTGTTCCATTCCTGATCCCAGAGTGACCGTTGTCTGCACCACTCAAGGCGATTACGTCGGTGTTCTCGAGTTAAAGGGAGGACCCAGTGTGGCCGGTATGAAAACAAGCCAAAAATTCTCATTCGTCGGTAAACACTTCGCATGCCGATAGGTCTTCCGTGTTCTGCAAACCATTCATTTGCAATGGACCTGGTAGTGGAGAAACGGTCCCTTAAGGCCAATAATCTTAGGCGGCGATCTTCACGGTCTGTTGTTCTACGGCGGCGTCCAGTGCCCCTTGCTCTTTGCGTACGGCCTTCTCGAAGCCATGCCTGACAACACCTAACCACAGTGTCTACACTTCTTTGCACTCTAACTGCAATTGCCCGAAAAGAAAGTCCAGCTTCCCGAAGTCCCACTATACGGCCCCTATCAAACTCACTAAGTTGACGAAATCGTACAGGTCTCCGTACTCTAGGCATCGTAACCGATCGTAAAGGACGTCAAGAACCAAAATCCACCAACATTGATTCTTTACTGCGGCTGAAATATTCATTTTTAGAGCGTTAGTGAATTAAAAAAAAACAGTATAAAAACCGGAATGTCCAACTGTTAAGGCTGAAAATTTTTTCACTTGTTATTTACAGTAAGATAAATACATTCACCAACTTTTATTAAAATAAAACCATTTAAACTGGGTGTTCGGATTTATATGTCACTTAGTATATTTCTAATTATTGATTACTACAGAACCTTGCAGAGTATACCTTATAACTGAAATTATTATTGTTAATATCATTATCTTAAGAGCTTGTAAGTCTCATTCACTTGATTAATTGGAATTTTTCAAAATAAGTGGGAAGCCGAAGATGCGTCGACGTACGTAGCTTCTTCTATCGTTGGTTGACTCTATCATGTAGCAGCAGCATCCCTCTTTCACGCTCCGTTCTGTAATCTAGTGTGCTTTATTCGGACAGTGTTGCCGGATGTTTAGGAAAATCTCAGATATGATATATTTCAAAGTCTAATCAAATTAAATGTGGTCATATACCAACGTTAATAATTAAAAAAAATCTACACGTAGCTTGTACAAGAACGTCTTAATTGTCCTCGCAAATCACATCACTCGGCGCTGTATGAGGTAACAGCGCTCGATCAATAATGATGCACCCCTCCACGAAGATATATTAGGTACTGTAAAAATTATAGATAAATGCTTGATAACTAATTCTAAACGCATTTTTTTGAATTCAGAGACTGAACTTAGAAATTACTAAAGTTCCAACTGCCGGTAAAGATTAAAAAGTGACATCAAGTAATTCAGAAGACATTGCCACCAGAAAGAAAATTAGCAACAGAGAAATACGAAACTGAGGAAACCAAAAGGTTAACTACAAAAGAACGGCAACGTCTAGTGCTATTACAGCAGTACCAAACAAGTATTTTACAACAATAGTATTATAAAACGAAATTAGAAATGATGCAGCGTCAGAAGGCACCTGTAACTTATGATGTTGACGAAAATAAAACTTATTATAACTTATAAATACACTTTAATCAGTAAAACTATTTATTATAATATCAAGCTTCTTCTTATTTGTTGACCTAGTTGGCAGAGAGGGAGTTCGTCATTCTCATGATTTCCTTCATCTTCATCTGGGTCTTGTTCAACTAACTCAAAGTCAGAATGGCCCAAGCGCTTCGCAACATGATGGAGTACAATGCAAGCAATAATTATTTTCGGCACATTTTCCAACTTTAAGCCGCAAACATACTGTAGGATAGGAAACCGGCGTTTCAGTTGGCCGAAACAGCGTTCAATTATAACTCTTTCTTGTTTTAAAAGTTTATTATAATTTATTTCTGCTTCTGGAATAGGATTTCTGAAGGCATGGCTCAATACCATAACGGTCATCGCCAAGTAGTACAGCATTTGCTTTAGTTATTAGTTGTGACCTAGTCTATGAATTTCTCCATATTCTGGAATCATGCACTGATCCAGCAAACTGACATTAATCTCATATCTCTGGTATCACAAGTGACTCGTTACGAAATTGAGTCTGCTACTGACCACACTCAGAATTTTTGAAGGATATGCTGCCTATGCCAAGTATAAGGTGAAGATTACGCATATCCTTTTACTTATGTCACTGCTTTGAAGGATATGCTTATACTCAAAAAGCAAAAGCATTTACTTCAAATTATTATGAATACCATCTGGAGGGCTTCCTTCAAAATTTGCAAGTATGTACAAGGATATCCTTTGTTTTATGAATATGGCTCAATATATTTGAAAACTATCTCGTTAAACCAATACTAAGAATGGAACATAAGCTCAATGTTTCTTAATCATTAGGTAAATATCTATGAAGCGACTTTTCAAACTAGTTGTTCTACGTTTTTCCTACGCATAGTTTTCGAAATTTTGTTTTGTAGAAATCACGTTGCATTAACAAAATATACATGTGACTCCAACAGACTATTCAAAATGATTACCTCTAGCTAAAATGCAACACGCCATTCCTATGGATAGTCCGAGGGATAGTCTAGACAAAAAAATCCTCAATTATTGCCTCACGTTTGTGAAATATCCTGTATAAATGGACCGAGGTCAATCGATGGTGAAAATGACATATCAAATTTGGAGTTTCCGCAATTACAAACCGAAAAGGGTCGAAACTGCCGTTGTGCCGTATTTTCAGACAGATGTTGTTCATTTAGGTATTCATGGGTGCGCGCCCAACGAGCCTGTAGCAGTCAGTAATTCCCCTTTCAGACTCGGTAATCGGGTCAAACGACATTTGTTCGGTTTGAATACCGACACCACATGCTTTGCACGCTGCTACCATGCCGGTCGTTCAGTTGTTTTGGAATGAGTTTAAACCAATACCCTTGTTGACATTCATGCATCTGTCTTAACGCGGGCTCGGTCATGTAACGAAAATACGTACTCACTGAACAAACTAATTTACTACTCTTTAACAACACTAATACCTAATAAAAATTAATTAAATAATAATGTATAGGGTGACCCAGAATGATACGCTAGGTAGATTGGCTGCGGATCAATCAGATAAAATCAACATGACCTTAGTAAAAGTTTTCTAGTTATCGAGATATTGCAACTTTTAAGCTTTTTCAAAAAATCCTTACTTTTTGCTCCTTTTTTGCCTAACATGGCTATCCTGATTAATGTTTCTTTCCTGAGCTACCATTAATAGTTGATATCTGAGACAACCGGGTATTCATTTAATTAAAAACTAGCACGGTACCTATTCTATAAAAAAAATACATCAGTTGGTTTCAATGCGAAAAATTTACTAAGGTTTGACTAAAAAAGGAGCAAAAAGAAGGATTTTTTTCAAAAAACTTAAAAGTAGCAATATCTCGAAAACTAGAAAACTTTTACTAAGGTCATGTTGATTTTATTTGATCTGAAGACAATCTATCTCCCGTGTCACTCTGGCGTGTTATTTCAGAGTTGCGGTCCGTGCTCCGTCGAGTGCTCTTCAGAGACTGAGTCACACTCCTCTAGTGTCTTCCATTTGCGTATGTGTCATCTGTTCTCCATCTTTTCTAAAGGTTCGAGACTACCAAGTTTTGTTCGTAAGGTTCCAGACTCTGTCGTTTCGGTTGATCATTGATTCTGGTGAGCGAGAGGTTCTACCACTGTTAGCTGGTATACAGGGCTATAGTCGAAATCTGATAATAAAAGAAATGATTTGACGAAAATTTCTCAATGGTAGGTAAACACCTATTGGATGTTTCAGGAGAGCCGGTGGTGTTATACTTACAATATTTCCTGCCTTCTTCTGTAGCATTGGGAATCAGTTTTCTATTCACCGGAAGCAGAGTGCATAGTGGTGGACAAAAAGTTAAGTATCATCGGAGAGATAGTAGGATCTAGGCGAGCTGAAATCTCTGTCATGTGGATTCGAATGAGACCCGCACGGGTGTTAAGTTGCTTGAAAAGTGACATTTTGTCGGTTTTTTACATTTTATAGGTTTTTTGTGACATAACGTAGGTTTTTCTACAAGGTGTAAACTAAGGACTAGCTATTGTACAAGTGTACACTTGTTGTGAGCTCGTTTTGTAGCTGTACGTGTTACCTAAACGTCATGATGCTTCAGCTATCAGTGTTTAGCTCTGATATTATGTAACATCTTCTTCAGAGATGGCATTATTGGAGGCCTAAGCTGTAAGGCGTATACTATAGCTAGAAGGAAATAGCAGTGCATAGATGCATCGAGAGGATTTGCCTCAAGTAGGTACACTTAATTGAGATGTATTCAAAGCTATAAATTAGTTGCGCATCCACTTTGTCTTATCCATTCTGGAAATTACATATGGAAATTTGCTGAATTTCAAAAATGAGAGATAAGAAAAGAAGATCTCTAGTTGGTGAAGTAGCTTAATCTGGAATCTTATATTTTATACCTACTTGCTGCTACATATTACAATTATATTCACTATACACTGTCGAATTACAAGTTATATACACGCTAACAGTGATTACACACAACGTGGGCAAGGTGGTGATTTCGCGTGATTCTCCTAAGCGTTTTTGAAAACACAAAACAAAACGGGAAAATCTTAATTTATAACTTTGAACATAACCTGTCTTCAGAAAAGATAACATATGGATAATCCGTCAGGCACAACTAATAGATATACTTCATTGGCAGCAGATTCCGTCATAAATTTCTCACATAGCAAATATCTGCAACCAACAATGCATGCTTGAGCGTGTCCTGTCGTTGAGTCATTCCTCCATAGATGGACGCTTTTGATGACGCTCAAACCAATCATAGCAAGCAAACGTAGAATTAACTATTTGCACACTAAAAACTACCTATTCTGCAAGATTATGGCTAAAAAAGGAACGAGTAGAACGATTAAAACATAAAATTAATATTTTTTCTACGTACCTTCGCATGGAAACAGCAGAAAGTTCCGTCATTTATAAAGAATTTGTGAATTTAATATGGAGATTAGAGGATCACACAAAGTGTATCCATTATCTGATTGCTTGAGTTTACTTCTCATTAGCAAATTTTGATCCCCTCAAGTCAATAGTAAAATCGGGCCTAGAGGTCACATCTATAGACGTTCTTTGAGGATCGGATACCGTTTGAGGAATGGCTTTTAAACAAACAACATTTATTTTCAAATGCTCGTCTTGAAATTTAATTTGAACCGATAAAAAAAGAATGCTAAGCTTCTACATCGTTGGTTTGAAATGAACATTGTTCCTAACCTTAACCGAAGGGCCTATTCATACTCAGCCGTGACGTGACAGTGCTGTGACCGGCACGTGATCCGCCCGGCGAAAGTAAAAACGTTCTTCCTGGAATATGGATGAACTGATTCACACTAGACCGGCACGTGGAAGGGGCCGTGTTCTCAGTGCCCTCGACGACGCCGTACCGTGATCATCGCATTGTTTTGGAACGATATTTTTCGATTTTCACGGTCGTGTTTTTATGTAATTTCGTGAATATTTTGACATAATTGGTCAAAAACATGAATGATGAAAAGCTAATTGAATTTGTACGCGTACATCCTGTGGTGTAGAACCAGTCAAATTCAAAATACAAGGACTTCCGTTTTCTTCTCGTTTCTTTTTCTTCATCTTTGGTAGGTGGTAGACGGTCTCTGACTGTCGAACGCGGAGGTACCACAAGGCGGATCTCGTAGGCGGGGCCAGAATGTGTGCATGTTGCATGCACACGTGTTCCCTCGCGTGTGGCGTCCCCCCTTTCCCCTGTGTTTCCCCCTATAGCACCACGGTACCCCATGGGTGTTTAGGCGTTAGGCCTTCGTGGTAGTTGGAGTATAAAAAAAATCCAGAATTAAGGCAATAATTGCAAGTTCATCCTTTGAAAATTTTGCCATCTCGACCTCACGTGAACAGAACTGGCACTGTCAGAGCACGGAGAAAAATACTGACCTGTGTAAATTGAAAACACTATGAGCTCATGTCAGCGAGAATCACTGGCACGTCACGGCACTGTCACGTCACGGCTGAGTGTGAGTAGGACTTTATTCGACTAAATATCTGTCATTGTCATTAATAACAGCCTACCATCTATGTTTGTCGAGCATCCACTAGTAGCGCTATTAGCCCACACATCATCTGCCTTCCTATATGAACAGCTGGTCCCCACAAAACATATACACTGAAGAAGGTTTAGTCACGTGCTATCCATAGGGCCACATGGTTGCCAGATTGTGCACGAACGCCGGCTCTTTGCATAAATCTGAGACTCTTGTATAAATATATTGGGCGTTTACTAATGATATATGGTAGATTATATAACGACATGTGTTATTAACATATTTTTGCTGTTTTGAAAAGTAACTGAGTCACTTATATGTTAAGGCAGCAACGTCAATAACACATGCTGTTATTTGAAATTTGTGAACAGTAAAAAAATCTATACCTGCGAAAAAATTTTATATTGTATGAACACATGAATAATATTTATGATCCAAATGCTTTCATTTCTGGTGATGGTCTTCTGCAGAACCTGCGTAGAGAAATTGTTAGAATTAGTGATGAAAAGATATCATTTCAAAAAGAAATAATAGTTAGTCGTTAACAACTGTAAGGTTACTAGAATTACCAGATTTTTCATAAGATTTATAACACAGGAATATCTAATCACATTTCCATGACAGTGATAAACAGAATGTAAAAGTATTACGGGAAATATGATTATATCATTAAAATATATCATAAATGGTATAAGATTTGATGATTCAAACATGTTAGCCATATATTATCAGGATATCTGACTTTTAATTCATTTTTATCAGCGTTTTTTTAAGCTAATAATATTTACTAAAGCAACAAAACCCTTTATGTTCAAGTTCATATTCAAACTTGAAACCTATGGAGTTTCTCATAGCAACTACAGAATACCAATATT